CCTTTTATCCAGCTGACTTGCATTTGCCTCCATTTATAAGTACTGTATGGGTGTTTTAGCAGAACAATTCAGTTGAAGAACCTAGCTCAAGGGTACAACAGCATGCCTCAACCGGGTTTTGAACCCATGACCTTCTAATCACAAACCCAGAGCTCTGACCACTGTTTCACTCTGTGTGCTGTAATGGACCCACCTACAGCAGCTCACATTTTTCAGTGAACCTGACCTGTACTGAAGATCACTTACCTGTTCATAAAGAACACTGGATTCTGGGCTGAAGGTCATTTCTATAGTAAGCAGAGTGCAACAGAACTCTCTTCTGAAAGGGTTATACTGTAGGTCAGCACAGAGTTCAACATGAAGGGGAAAAGGCAGCCATTTTACATGGGTAATTTCATCTTTTCTTTCATCTTGTCTTACGGAGACTGGCAACAGGACCTTTCTGAATCTCTGCGTTCTTGCAATGACATTTTCTAGTCATTCAATGTAGAGTGGCAAATATCCCATCACCTTTTGATTTGTATGACAGTTGGCTGCTGTTACAGTATGTTCTAAAAGCTACATACTGTATCTGAAGCAGATAAACCCCAAAGGAATTTAAACCTCAATGTACTATTGTATACCATTTGGTACTTGTACATTTAATGATGATGCTGAGGAAAATAATACAGCCTCCTTGCTTTCATTCAGACAGTTGTATTCTCAAACATCTGCCAATCTGACTGTTCTAGAGGCCTCATTCAACTTCATTGCCAAGGCAAAGAAGACTCTGCTGTAGTCTGCTATATCCCTGCTGCCTCCTACACAAGACAAGTCTACCTTATCATCTCCCTGACTCACTTCAGGTCTGCTGCATTGCAGAGTTTCCAGTAACATTCATCACATTCTTGTACCGAGGACTGGAGGCTCTTAAGAATGCATATGCAGTACTGCAGGTGGAAGTACAGCCAGATTAAGATAGATAACAGGTTTTAATAATTAAATGTCAGTCTGTACAAATATCTAATGGCCCGTAGTTTACACTGAGAAAAAACTTTGCACTCTTTGAAAGGGTGCTGTTTCCTTCATTTGCAACAGCTAACTCTTCACCAGCTGATACCAACACCATGACATATTGTGGAAAGCTAACTGCACGTGACCTTGGGCTAAAACATGGGATAAAACAGTGAAAGCAAAGTGAATTCTCTGGCAGGCAGATTGGATCACACATTGCTTTTCGCCAGCCCGCTGGCTTTGCAGGCCAGGAAATTTGGCAATGAGGCCTTTCCTTTTCTTTTTATCAACCAATCGCCTGGTGATTCCACTGAAGCGACATCATTCTTTTTTTCCTGAGGAAGAGAATGGCATTACCATTAACCCCAAGCAGTTGCCTAGCAACGGTCTCTGCCATGGCAGCATGTAGCACTCCAGAGCTGTGAAGAGGCAGTCACTGCAGCACTCTGAGAAAGATACCATGGCACTGCACGGCACCAGATCCAACTGATTTTGCCCTCACACAGGGCATTTGGAAAACTTACCTAACTGGTTGGCATCAAAAAGAACAAAATACTTGCTTTAGAGGGCAGAGGGCAGAGTTTTTTTTTTAACAGTGCCCCAGGAGCATGCCAATGGGAGGAGTGTCATTGACTCCATGTGCTACTTCAAATGCAGCAATCTTTACAAATAAATTCAAACAAATAATAGTCTTCACCAAAATTGCAGCATAACCCAAACCCAGCTTGTTAACAGACTTCTCAATCATCGTTTTCATATGTTATTACATCAGGAATAAACAGCAGGCAGTACAAAAGATGGGCACGGACATGTTTCAGAATTATATATAGTACAGTAGTTAAAAATATGTCTTTACTATTATCTAGAACACTGAGTAAATGCTTAGTGGTACTGTGGATGAATGCACCATTACATAATCTTAATCACACCATATGCATTGCCTAAAGGCTTGAAATCAATACTATTCTATTTAAGTGCCTTCACTTGCTCTGTGTACAGTATTGTTATTAATAGCTTGTGTGCTGTAATGGTCTGGTTTGGGCATTTCTTTAACCATTAATCCACTGTACTACACAGACCTCAGGAATGTCACTAGATCACAAGAGAGACTTATTCTGTTATTTATGTTATTATAAACATATTTAAAACTTAGATATCTGAAACTATGCCTGCTGCCATTTAGATCAATACATTTGTAGTAGTCCTGCTTACAGTAGCTCTAAATTGTATGCAGATGACAAAACAATTATGTTTTTTATTTATATATATCGATGAGATTATTTAGTCTAGAGATCTCTACATAAAATAGGTATATGGTACCTGTGAAAAAACGTGTAAAAAAATTGCTTGTTCACGGAGCTATGAATTTCTTTGTGGCAATATGGCTCGAGACAAAAAAAAGGGAATCTTATTTGCTAATGTGTCCTCATTAAGCCCTCTGACTGGCATCAAACCTTTTTTTGCAGGGGGGGGGGTGTTTTATTCTGTCAAACAGCTGTGCTTTGCAGCTTTGAACAAATTGCTCATGATTACTTGTGAGTAAAAGGCAGCATTAAATTCAGCTGGTAAACAGAAATCAAAGGCGCTAATTGGACACTCTTATTGCTGGACTACAGCCGGGAGGGAGGCAGCTGTACTGTCTAAGGGCTGTCTCAGTCTCAGACAGACAGATAATACAGTCTACATTGTCCTTGGCAAATGAAAACCCAGAGAGCTTTCAAAGCACACTCTGAAGGAGGTCCTTTCCAGATAACTCTCAAATACATTGGTTAAAACTGAGACCATTTACCAAGAAACATCTACAGATTAAAAACTCACAAAGCAACGCTGGATCTGAAAGGCCAGGAGTTATTGAGCAAAATGACACACAGTCCTTTGTCTTCGACAGCAGATTCTCAGGTTTCCCATCAAGTGTTAAAAGAGCAGATTCTTGACAGAAATATAAATAAACTGTAATCCAAACAGCATTTGGTGCATTGTTTGGACACAATGTTTATGAACTGTATTTCCACATAATTGTACATTTTAAAACAGTGCCAGAACAAGCAGGGTTTCTCCTTGTTTTCTCTCTACATACAAGAGTGCTTTGATTTTCATAATTTCCATGTATAGTTCTTTTCTTCACTTTTTATACTACCACTTACTGTTTCTGTGTATACTGTATGCTGAGTGGCATTGGGTACAGATCAGTTTCCAAATATACAGTAATGGTAATCCCTATCCAAATCGCTTCTAACCTGGGCAGCCAACTGACAGGCTAGACCTGACTGTCACTCCTACACCAAGCAAGAAACAGACATAGAGGAGATTATTTGCCTTCGAACTAAAAAAAGCCATTGATTACATATACTGAATAGTATGCCCATGCACTATTGAAAAAAACAATTATGATAAAGGTTGTGGCAACCTGGAGCCTATCCCAAGGACACAGGGCTCAAGGCAGTGATACATTCTGGATAGGACGACCAATTAACCTAACCAACATGTCTGTGGGAGGAGTGAGGAAACTGGAGCCCCCAGAGAAAACCAATCTAAATCCAGAAAGAATATGCAAGCTCTACAGAGAAGGCCATCTTGATATACGTATAGACTGTATATGGATATTTTATTATAGCTAGACACTAGCCTAAAGTGACTTATACATGTTCTAGAAATATACATGTGATTTATGTATTTACAATCACATATTTTACAATCACATAAAATGGAAAGCTTTCAAATTAGGAAAAATAACTGCAGTTTTAAAAATTATACTTCAATATCCAACAAGAATATTTAAACAAGTTTATTTCATATTTATTATTCCTAAACAATACTACTATGCTTACAAAAAAGTGATTTGCCATTCAAGTATGCACATTGCTGGGGATTTGCATGATATTTGAAAAAGCAGTGCAATTATTCAGAGGCTAATCAAATGAGATACAACAGATCATGTTTATATTTATTTTTGTTTCAAAGCCACATGCCCAATAACAGTGGGGGGAAAAAGCTAGTTCTGTTGTTGACCTATTATCGTGTGACTGCCAAAAAAACTCATCTCAATCTTCAGCTCTGCCAGCCTTATGAAGGCAGTCCGAACATAGACTAGTCTGAAGAAGACAGGAGCAAATAAACCTTTGGATAGCAAACATTGTTGACACTGTTGCTTTTCTACCATGGATTGACTGCTAGCTGCTTATTGATCTGAGGGTCACTGTCTGCCATTTCTTGAGGAAATTGGCTAAAACACCCTGTTCCACACTCCCACCACCCTTTGTGTAAAAGGTATCTCACATTTGTGGTCCTAAATGCACTTCCTCAGTTGTGCACTTATGGTTTTGCAAGCAATCCACTGGGACGACTTTGTAAATGTATCTAGTAATTTTGGGTATTTGTTAGGTCCCAGTTCCCACGTGATCCTGTACTGGATAAAGAAAATGGATGGATGTATACATGTTTGAAGTCCCCTCTTAAATCTTAGTTCTAGAATTGTAAACAGCATTCTAAGTAGTCCATTATATAACCTTAACAGGTCAAAACAATGTCAAACACATCACGTCGCCGTTTTTAAACAGGGCATAATCAACTCATGCTACTATTTATCTGTACCTTTGTTTCACGATTTTCAAGTGGCCAAAACACAGACCACATAATTTCCATTTCAAACCTTTTTTTTAAAAAAAAATACCTCTGGCATTAATTGCACATTTGTTTAGATTTATGTTTTCTAATTAGAAAGTAGACATTGTTCAGTAGTCACGATAAGTAAATTATTTCTGGATGACTGATCAGACTACCTTTGCCCTTCACTGGACCAGACCAAAAGTAAATGTCTGTTGCAGGCCTGAACCTGAGTTGCATACACGTTCAGTCGCTTCATCTGCAGAACCTTCAACACAATGAGGGAAGGAAAACATACTGTACATTTCAGGCTTTATCAGTCTGCAATGTTCAGATACTGCTCACTTCTCACAGTTATACTGCACCTTCTAACACCAAGAGGTTTCTCTGACTGAAGATTTTACCTGACTGGGTGGGCTTGGACTCCCGCTGGCTACAGCTGATCTTTGAAGACAAAGCCCTCTTCCTCTCACAGGCAGATTTCCAACAGAAAACCAAAGACACACCTGGATGGTAAGGAGAAGGAGCAAATTAGCAGTGGCCAGGGGAAACACACCCCTAGAGTGACAGTTATACAAAGCAGGACATTAGACCGATCCAAAGCTGGAAATCTGCAAACTATCAAGTGACAGCGTAAAACTATATAGAACTGTGTAAACTATATTTCTAAAGAAAGTCACAAAGTACGTCAATGAGGGCAGCAGAGTGCCGCAGTGGTCAGCATGGCTGCCTAAGGCCCAAGGTTCAATTCCTGCAGTGATATCTGTGTGGAGTTTTAATGTTCTCCCAACATTAGCGTGTGTGTCTGCGATTGTGTGTCTGCTCTGTGATGTTCTGGTGTTCTGTCCAAGGTGTATCCTGCCTGATAATTGGAAACCATTGGATATATCTGTTTAAACCTCGTGAACTTTCACACATACTCTTACACAACATTACCCCAACAAATATTCACTAATGTTTTATTTCTCTCTGTCTCTCTCCGAATATAACCTGTCTGTCAAGTATTGTGATATTGATCAGACATTTCCATGGTTTCTTGAATTCACAAAGGAGGGGTTATAATTATTTTCACCACAGCAGAAAAAGTAAGAAGCTAAAACATGGCTCAGAAGCCATTCTGCATTTTAACCGGTAAGTTGCAGCACTCCCATTGTTTCTTCACAAATGAGTTTAAAACAGAAAATATACAGTAGGTGTTAATATGTAATCGTAATTATAAATATAACTACTAAGCACCATAAAATCTATTTGAAAGTTGGAATTTTCCTTGTAATCAATTGCCCTACCAACAGCACAACTATTACTTTAATACACCAACACTTTCAAGTGAACATCACACAGAAATATTGTGACATGGTATGCTTACAATAATACACAGATCATCTTACAGATCCATTCACGACGTGCCCCTTTGGTTTCAAATGTACTGCACGTAAAAAAAATTGAATTTCAAATTGCTAGCAAGTCCCTTCACAGACACATTGATAGCTCATATAAAAATCTCTAAAACACAGCATTTTGTTGACTTTGACAGCATATTATATGTTGTTCAAAGCATCAAGACATTAGGAAATAATATACACAAACAAAAATGAGCACCTTGACACATTTAGGAATATATTAATACATCTACAACTCTACACCCTGGCTTTTTATCCCAGGCTTCTGCATCAGACAGACCCTACTTGATACATGAAGCAAGGGCTATCTGCTGTGTATGGTTGTTTGATCCTGGGCAACTGTAAACCTCTGTCCGTACGCCTACCGTAACTTAAATTCAGCCTACTAGCAAAAAAGGCATTTAACGAAAAATAACTACCTTTCTCTTGTCGCTGTAACAATGGAGTGCTATTTCATGCCTGTTCTAAACCTTCAACAGCCCTTAAATGAAAAAAAAAATCAAAGTCCTTTTCACTGAGGTGATAATGATCTTCAAGTCACTGCAAGAGCTCAGATGGCCTTGAAAGTCAATCTCTATACAAACGGCAGAAAACAATCAAGGATTGTTTGCAGTTTGCAGAACAGCACACTATCAAGGTGACCAAAGTAAATACCTGCAGAGGAATTCTAGTTTCTGCACACACATTATCATTACCATCACTGTCAGCCAATGCAGAACAGATTACTATACATTTGAGTACAGTGAAAGCAAGTCATTCAGTACCTACAGTACTTATTGGGAGATCAACACGATGGCAGTGCATTACTAAATAGTAAGAACTGACAACCGAAGAAGGCTCCACAGCCGAAACATTGTGTTTTGTTTCTTTTCTTTTCAACATAGAATTAATCTTTACTTGTTCCTTTGCATTACTAAATAGTACTGACAACACAGTACAGTATGACGCAGGGAGACAGCAATTTTAAAACATATCTGGAATTGTATCCATTCCAGAATTTAAATACTTGATCTGGCTCTTGACAGTGAATGTATTATTGAGTACAGCTATTTGGTCTCTCTCGTTCCAAGCAAGACTCCAGGTACCGTTACTGAAAGGAACAGCAACAAGAAAAAACAACATAACAATCGAATCTAAATTCTTAGGCATTCTTTTAGGAATGTGACTAGGGGTACATTTCATGCTAGAAGTCTCGATAACTCAGCAGGTGAAGGACATGCTGATGCAAGTATAAAACATCCACGAAGTCCAGTAAATGGGGCCTTAGCTGTTGCAATCTTCAAGTCAAGGGGAGTGGGGCAGGGTATTCAGGAAGCTAATTATGGAATATAAACCACAGCAAACTGCAGACAAGCAGAAAGAAGAAAACACAGGCACTGAGCTGCATGTTGCCACAGAGTTCCAGATTAGAGCAGTGAGGTCCAAGCCAACAACAATTAATTACAGCAACTGCTCTCAAATTGCTTCCCTACTGCCTGTGTCCACATCAGTCATACCCTGAAGGTCGTGACAGCCTAAGTGTTTCAGTATGGTGAGGGCACTGGTGTCTCTGCAGCTGGAGCAAGCCATGTGCGCTGTTAAGTACTCCAGTAAGATGAAACAGACGTTCTCTTCCTCGATCTGTTCAGTGTTTATTGGTTGTGCTGATTTTTGACAGAGGCTTGTGGACAGTTAAGGAGCACTTATACTTAACTGTAAAAAGAAAACAAGCCTTTATTAGAGAGGGGGCATGCTCCAGGCATTTTGCAGCAGGGCAAACATTAGTTCTCTGTTTTCTGAAATAAATTCTGAAAGTCGTAGAGAGGAATAAAAACAGGCAGGAAAATGAAAGACCTTCTTTTGGAAGCTGCATTGGAGTTAGAAAGGGTGGAGCAATTTGTACAAGAGTAAAAAGATTGACATTTTTCTTACTGTTCTGGTAACAACTGTTGTAACCTCTTCACATTTTTAGTTTTCAATGTAGCTCACCTCTGAGTTGCTAAATCAAGCCCTTAGTTTAATCACTTGCTTATTTTATCATATTTATAACTTGTTGTCTATTCGTGGTTGAAAATATTCTGTTACTTATATAATATAGCAAAGAGGAACCCCAGGAACGTTTGTTGAGAGCTGAAAACAAATGCCTCAGATGAATTATATTTTATTTAGGAAATTAATAAAGAAACTGTGCAAGAAGTCCAGTTCTATATGCCAATATCCTGCAAGGTTTCTTAGGAAGACTGGAAACATTCTTCAATCTGTTTAATTCTGGATGAAAGACTGATGTTACAAACAAGTCTGAAGTAATAACAGTCAAACACAGATGAGCTTCATGTTCAGTTTAGCCATCTGCAACAGGGTTATGTAACAAACCATAATACAGATTTATGATGATGATAAAATGAACTATATTTTAATATATATAATATATAATTGTTCTATAATGTATGCATCGTGTCATGACTTTTAGATTCGTTTTTGAATACAGATTTAGAAATTTCATTTGTGAAGACTCCAGTGAGGCCCTTAAGATTTTCTACAAGCTAGTTCAAACCCTGTAAATGACCTTCACTGAGACTCTGAAACCCTGTAATACAGACACGTCAATACATCAGCATACATTTCTGTGCATTCACGAGCTGACAGACCTTGAAAGAAAGAAAAGATTCCACGAGGGATAACAATATGGAAGAATTAATGCATTTGAGGCTGTTTATTGCATACTTAGGTATAGTGAGATTTGGCTTAAATTGCTTGGCTGAGGGCAGGGCCAGTCTCCTGAGTGCAGGATGGGGGAGTTAAGACACCAATGTGCAGTAAAAGGAGCAAACCAAGGGGCAGATTGGGGTGGAGGAAACATACATATGAAAATGGCGAAAAGAGATTATTCACAGCGTTTGGGAAAATATTGACAGAAATAATTATGAGATAGGACCACTGAGGAGAAAGTAACCTTGTACTCGTCACTCATAACAAAACACCTTCATTCAGAATACCATTAGTTGTAATACTTTACAGTTGACAACATTTTTAAAAAATCTACGGCCTATTGTTCACAGCAGGGAGATCCCGTTACCCCTACAGTAGGCTTATCCCCATGTTAAGGATTAAATTGAATTAATTGTCAACTTGAGATAGGCTTCCCTGTATAAAATATACTATAAAACACATGTATCACAAAGACCTACATTTGAAAAGCCTGGTGTGAATGAAATGCAGTAATAGCAATTTGCCAGCAACACCTTCTAGCCTGATCTCTTCAGATCTCTAAAGCTAAGCAAGATTGTGCCAGATCTGTACTGGAAACTTAAAATACAGTACAAGCTGCTTTAAGTGTTATTGGGGGACCAGTAGGTGGCTTCTTCCCTGTGGTCCAGAATTCCCAAACCACTGCTGCAGTATGTTGACGATGGACACTGTTATGCTTTTATTAAACTAAGGTGTTCACAACTGGGGTTATTAAAGATTTAATGCTTCCGTTCATTACCCCTTGTGTCTGTGTAAATTCCACTTTGGGCTTGTTGAATCTGGTCTCCCTAATGTTCCTCTTGATTAAACTGGTGAAGTAATTTCTCACTCCTCCATCTCATCAGCTACGTGGTAAGGCTACTGCATATCCTCCAGGTGGGAGCTGCTTTTCAGTCGTGGATCAAGTGGGTCGCCTACTGTAATTGCACTTTGGGATCCTTTGGAATGAAAAGAGCTACACAAATGCAGGCAGGTATAATTATCACAGTTACAAATGTAATATACTTTGTTCTCATCATTACTATTATGAAGTAAAGCAGGGCTTTTAGTGAGATGCTTTGTGCAGTGCTACCATGACAGTGACTAAGGATTGAGAAGGCTTTAGAACATTGCGAGTACAAGAGATAACAGAATATTTTGCTTCTGTTCTCTAGTAATAAGTCATTCATTTGTACAAGGGGAGCTCCAAAAACTGGTGAACTGCAATTTCAACTGACAGTTTGCATGGTGATGGGATTTTTGTACTTGAAGAGCTTGGTATACGCAATGAGAGAAACATCCTGTTCAAGTTAACCATGAAAGACAGATGTTGCTCATACTTGCTCTCATCTTTTGCTGACTCCCATGTAATCATTTTCTTTCCAAGAAAACACACTTAC